ATTGCATTAAACTAACCTTTATATATCTACACATCATTCTATACTGTTATTTTCCCTATTTTCAATGTTAAAACAATACTTTTTAAGAATTTAAAGGTAGTTTCTGCATGAGAAATGCCTGAAATCATAAACTTTGACGGCTAATTTCTCATATATTGTTCTTTAAACAGCTGTGTGGTTAAACGCTTGTAACTTCATAAGGAAATGTCCGATTTGAATGATTTTTTTACCATTTTATAGCTAGTATTTTACTCTCTAACACTGTATTAATAACTCAAAATCGATTTTTGCGACGAGTGACTGGTTTGGCTTGTCTTTGCCACATTTATTCTCACCACCTATTGAGTTAGAATGTAGACCTATAGCTGCTGAATCTAGCCAACTTTCAGTGGTGAAAACTGTGATTGGCAGACAGATGAAAACGTTGTTGAAAACTATACTTAATACTGTCAATCAACAGGTTGATGGAATTGACAGCTCTAAGTTAAAGTGTTAGATCAAGGATATGCAAGATCTTTAACTTACCTTTCAAAATATCGAAGGTTTGCTATTTCCTGAAAGCCAGATTCCAAATACCGTACTTGAACTGCAGTGCTATATGGATAATTGTTATTCCAGATTATAAATAAGAAAATGGAAAAGCAAGCCAGGAACTATATCTGAAAACGACTTTTTTTAACAAGGAGAATCCCTTACAAAACATTCTAACAAAAAAGGTATTCTATAGATATTCTATAGAACATCAACAAGTTGTATAACAAATCAATGTATCTAGGATTCAATATGGAGGCATACAATTTACATTCATGGTTTCATATATAGAAGGATTGTATGGAATCATAAAAATATGGAGGTGTTTTATTATATTTGTGACTCATCTAAACATGTTTTCATAAACTACCTTTACAAATGCAATGCATGGTATAATATGAATCTATTCTGCTACAATATACCACTTTTTTATCATACTAAGAAAGAGCAACATATCCTTTTATGCACGCGTGCCAAAAAACAGTTAATATTATCCTCATATAAATGCTATTAGATTGTGGATTCTACAAACATATTTCCTGAAAATAAATATTAAAGCAATCGTTATCATCCAGAGATCATGTCACTGACAATCTAATCAACAGCATCCTTGGGCATTTGTGGCTCTTGTGTTTTCTCATCACACCATAAGTGTGTCTGAGATCATATATTTATATTGAAGGATAAATTCTTTGAGCCAATAAAAAATGAGAGTGATGGTCATGTAATGGTTGCTTTAACTTAATTCATTTAACTTCCTGATACCAAATATCATCCTGGCTCATCCTCGTTTCCTCTGTTGTCTGCTTTTTCTTTTTAAGTAGGGCGATTATTTTATGGAACTTGATGTTGTTCCAATAACATCACCCCATCTCGTTTTCTTTCATTTAATGATATCAATTTGACTGTCATGACAATATTAAACGATTAAGAAGATCAGATAAGATAAGTACTTTATTGTGATGAAATCAAATGTAGTTAACATGAAACTACAACAACAAAGTGCTTCTTCTGATTAAAAAAAAAAATATTGTACTGAAATATAAACAAAAGCGACAATAGATATTTGCCTATATGCATAAATATGTGCCAGTATATATAATACAGTAGTTAAAATAGGTGGCAAAAAATATTAATATTTTATTAAATTAATTATTTATTACAGAACCATCCTTCTACTTTGGTGAATCACAGTACAATGTTGACGAAAGTGACGGAAGCGTTGTAATCAATGTATGGCGTACCGGTACCGACCTGTCCAGAATGGCCAGTGTAACTGTACGCTCGCATAAATCAAATCCTGTTTCGGCTGTCGGTAAGTATCCCAAATATAATATATTCCGATTGGAAGCTGTGACTAATAAAGTATACAAAATAATTTAAATATTGTATTTTATAAACTTCACATAGACAGTGTAGCTAAGCATTTTGATGCAGGCCTAGTTGAAATGTTAACTTAATCTTATACCAGATTGTTTATATTTAAAACCATGACAGTTCCATCAAGTTAAATTATAATAAATTGAACAGGGCATAATAAATTTAGTAATATGTTAGACCTCACAATGTTAAAACATAAATAAAATGGACAGGTTTAACCTCCTTTTTTGACCCACGCCTCTAAATTGAAACATTCTTGCTGAAAATTTTAATAATAAACTACGATGTTATATTTCTTACCTTCTATTTTTTTTTTTTACAATTACTTATTATTGGAAATAGTTTTTTTAAAAAGAGGAACATTTTTGTTTTGTTTTTTTTTTATTTGGCACCAATTCATTCAAGACCAAATAAATGCGAGTAAGTTAGAAAATAAAAACTATGAAGTTTTTATCTGCATCATTTTCTTTATCCTTTTCAAAGAAGAAGCAATATATTTCAATATGTTATGGTTGTCCAGATATTAGCCTATGGTATATCATTTAATTAATACAGCTACGATTCTCTAATAATGATAGTAGCAGCACCCATAGCTTTTATATAAATGGTTGTTTTTTTTTTTCTCAATCTGGAAATCAGAGGAATTAAGGTAAATGTGTATTTATGTATTTTTTCATGTTTTGGTGTTAACTGTGGCTTAGTGTTATGGGTTGCTTCACTTTCGCTTATGAATTAGGCCACATAAACAGAAAAACATGTTTCTTTTCTGGGATTTTCAAAATGATATCCCTTTATTCTTTTTCTTTCTGAAAGTGGCCATCGTGGAACTACATAATTATGTGTCTATAGGCCTAGTAAATGCCTCCAAACAAACACAGATTCGCTATTCCTTGAATATGTGTGTGCTTCATGAAACAAAAGTATTAAAAGTGTGTGGCCAAAATGAAAGATGATATTTTTTTATTTGGCCTAATCTATTATTTGTTGATGATCTGTTTTCCCCACATAAGACCTCTAGTAATGCCGAGAACTATAAAATTGAACTTGTGTTTAATGTTTTGTGAAAGTGA